GAGTGTCAAGACAAGGAATAAAGTCTTTCCATGGACTCAAAATATCTCACCAGATTACTAAAGGACCCAAAAGATCCCCTTGGAGTTCCAAATCTGGCAAAGTGGGGGAAAAAGCCCACTTTTTTATGCTGAGTAGTATGTAGTATATGTACAGAATCACAGAATATGCTGAGTTGGAAGTGACCCACAAGGATCATCAAGTACATATCCTAGCTCTGCACGGGACCAGCCCCAAGAGTCACACCATGTGCCTGTCCAAATGCTTCTTGAACTCTGTCAGGCTTGGTGCTGTGACCGCTTCCCTGGAGAGCCTGATCCAGTGCCCAAGCACCCCCTGGGCGAAGAACCTTTTTGTAATATCTAACCTAAACCTGCTCTGACACAACTTCAGATTGGATGGCTACAGCAATAAGAGACTAAGTTGTGAAAGCTCATGTTAATTCATGGAATTTCAAACTTTTCTTAAAATATCATTTTTTAAAATTTTGATTCTTCACAAAAACAAAACCTGTGGCCTGCGGAATGGGTATAAGGTCGGTGTGATGAAGCTCCTCAGGAGGTAGATGCACAAAATTGCAAGAAAGTACATGGACTGCAGAGGGTTGTCTGGGCAACCACTGGTACTACAAAACTGCTATCTTGCAAAGTGAGGAGAAAGCAAGCAGAAAAATCTCAGTATCCTTCAGGTGAGATACAAAGATGCTGAGAAAGACAAGAGTCAGACTTTCTCACCCTTGGGAACCAAAAATCTACAAGAGGGCAGTGCAGCCTTCTTCATATTAATTGGTAGTCATACTGCACCCCATGAAACACTAAAGTAGCCCTCCATAATCATGAATTTAATAAGCACACTTCACAAAAAGGAATTACACAAACTTTAAGAGAATGAAAAAACCCAACACACAGTAAACCCCCACATAACAAGCACAGTATACAGATCTAATCATAAAGATATTCTTGGATTATTTTTTACTAATCAGTCACACTAAATCCATCAGTAGTCTTCCCAAAAAGGAAGAGTTTTGAAGTACAAAATTAGAATCCCTAACTTAAAGCTCCAATTCACATTTCTAACATTTCAGGACTAAAACACAGGCATCTTTTGCAACCCACAATCCCCTAATTCAGGTGATTCATGTTCTAGAAGTCAACATGAACCCTGGAAACCCAGAAGCTTGCTTCCCCTGCATACAATTAATGGTGCTGGAAATTACTAAACGTGTAATAAATAGTAATTGCTTTTTAATCAGTGCCACAATATTTGATGCTTGCACTGAATAATGCAAGACCACATGGAGAACTGCCAAGTAAATCTGTAGCATCTAGCTGAATTCACATTAAGCTTCATTTATGTATGTGAATTTATGTATAAGTGAATATATTTATACATGGAGAACATGAAGTGCTCCATATATATTACATTATCAATGTTGTCAATTAAATTTTTATCCAGATGAAGTCTGTATGTGTTGATGCTCATGTCGGACTATTGATAAGTCTGTTCCCAATTACTCCACTGATGTGACCTGAAGACACCTAACAGAAGGGCTCTACTATATCTAAGTAAAGATATATCATCCTGTCTTTATACACTCCATGCACAGAGCCAAACCAAAAAACTTGCCTGTTCTCTCAGTCTGCTAATGTCTCTGAAAAACCATCAGAGAGGACCACCACGTAGCTAGCAGCTGTTTCTTAGACATCCCTAAATGAAAGATTTTCCCTTTTTTAAGATATAGGGATGATGAACACGACTAGAAATAATCTGAAGTGACCAAGCACAGTGGGAGGGAGCAGAAGACATGGCTGTGCTGAGAGCTGCATCCAGCTGCTGAGCCTGTGGGTGCCTCGGAAGCAGACGGACAGCATGAAAAATTAGGGAAAGTGTTCCTGGGCTGGATACATTTGAGTAATGAGGGAAGTTTGTAGAAGTCAATCAGAAAAAAACATGCTTAGATAAGATCAGACTAGAGCAAAATAGACAAACAGGAGAATCAAATCACAGTTGAGATCTCAAAGATGTGAAGACCAAGTGGAGAGAAAAGATACAGAAAGAGAGAAAGCAAACTATGAATAAAAAGCGGCATTAGGTCAGTGTGAAAAATTATGATTAGCGAGAAAAATTGGCAATAAGAATGGTGAGTGTGAAAGCAAATTATCTAATTTTAATATAGTAGGACAAACATTAACAAGGACATTGAAAATTACCATACAATTTTCCAGTTCCCCAGAAAATCTATATATGATTGGGAATAATTCACACCACAGCTAGGAGAGACTGAGAAATAAGTATGAACATTACAAACAATAACCGAGTAAAATTTACTTTCTTTTCCAGAGATTGTGGTATGTAAAGGCTCCAAGTCAGATATTCAGAGGAACAGGGTGCTAAGCAGCAGCAGTTCACAGGTGCAAAACAGTTACTTTCCCAAACTCAAGAACATCCAACTTTCCATCCCTTTAGCAACCAAATGCAAACATGAATGTTGCAGGTCTTGAGCAGGGCACTGTGGAAGATAAAAATAGTTCTGCCTGCAACAAACACTTGTCTCTACAGGCTCACAACCCAGCAGTTGAGAAGCATGAGGTGCACTTTTCCATTTCCTAACAGAACATCAAATCACATGCTCAGCCACTTGGAGATTAAAACTAGCTGTCTTACAGCTGTGCAACTAGTGATAGGATTAAAGGAACACATAAAATCCTTGCAGAGATACTTGTCAGTTTGGGATTCTCCAGATACAGCTCATCCTTAAAAAAGCCACAGTGCATAGCACATGGCAATATCAAAAACATAGCAGAAGAGGGAAAAAGTTCCAAAATGCTCATAACTAAACGAATGTATATTGTGAAAATGCAGAGAAGTTTTGCAGAGAAATTTTATTTCATATCAACTCTTTAGCAGCATCCGGGGGGGGGGGGGGGAATTAGAAAATTGAGTTGCAGAAGGTTTAGAGGAGATACAGGTGTTTAAAATAAAAAAGAATGGCTCTCTACATGTTAAATTGGAAGAAGAAGAGGCAAGAGCAGACACCAAAGAACGAGTTTTTGCCACGCTCTTGCCAACATATATGACCTAGCTACTGCAGAGAATGCCAAAATTTTTTTTTTTTTGGATCTTGCCAGTCCAGTGAGATAAAAGGGCACTCAAAACTGCAAGCATGCTTTAAGCTCACTAAGCATTCTGTTATTCTCTGATAGCTTTCATTTTGTTATAGAAATGTTTCCACATGGAAATGACTTATGTGTGCAAGGAGAAGCCTCTCTCCCGAAGAAGATTATAGAAATACATCACAGAAAACCCCAAAGAAAGCACCTGGTTGCCCAAAAGAATATAGTATGTTCTAATTCCCCCTTTATTATATTTTTCCTGTTTCTTCTTAATGGTAGAGAGATACAGACAGAAGAAAGGAGTGGAAAAAACCAAGCGAGAAACAGCAACATGGAGCACTGCAAGGAAAGAAAGGTTAATTACAGCACAAGAAAAGATGCAAGGAATGTGAAGAATGTCAGCAAGCAAATAAATCAATAATCTACAGTAATCATCTGCATTCCTGAACTACCTTGAAAGCAAGGATATCTGCCCTTAGCATTCCTGACAACAGTAGAGATATTCAAGGAAGATCCCCCCCCCACTGCCTGCTGCACACTCAGTTTCTGCCAGCACCCCTGTGTCAACAGCTGATTACAAGGGAACTTTTCCAAAGGGAGCCTGTGCTACCTCTTATAACAGCTTTTTTAATTTGAGCTTGTAAATACGAGACAGCCCAGAAATATTAACAAGCCAAAATTCATGTTGTGATTATTGCTCTTAGTTGAAAAAAACCTCAAGGTCATTATCAAACAATTGCAGGAATGATGCACTAGGTTCCCCCCTCAACACTGCTCTCTAAAACATACCAGAACCTAGCAGCTCATATGGAATAACAGCACAAATCAATAAAGCCGGAAGACTAATGGGGTTTTACAGATACATTTCTTCACAATGGTATCAACATACTATAAGACTTTTACAAAGGAAATGGAAGGTGAGCAATAGAGACAAGGAGACCTAAAAGTCAAGACTTCACAAGTTGGAAACATTCTGTATTGCTGATGGAGAAAAACAAAAAAAAAAAACAAACCCCAAAACAAAACAAAATCCCAACCCTCAAAACAAGTATATAACTGACATCAAGGAGATGCCATCAAGTAGTATGATACAACAGAAATGGATCTGCAGAGACAAACAGTGGGTGCTAAAGGCCTTACTGACAGCCACTCCTTACACATTTTGGGGGAGGCTTACTTCAGATGAACAGTAGACTAGTCACATGAACTGAGCATCCAGTAGGGGTTGAGCTAAATAGCCTGGCTTAGTTTTGTCCATAAAAGAATTTAGATCAACCTCTGGTGCAAACCAAAATACTGGAAATGGGGAACAGAAATTCAATTCAGCAGCGCAATCCTCGGCCACTGCTAACACAGATCTACCCAAAGTTGCAATATGACTCTGATGCTATATATAAAAAGTCTTGTAAGTCCAGTATCTGTCTCAAACAAACAGCAACAAAAAAGAAAAGGATAGAATGATTCCATGAGCACTGTTGCTTAGAAGATCACTTTTGTCTACAAGACGTAGCAGTAATTCTTCAAAAATTGCTTTGCCACACAGAACATAATGTAAAAAACCCACTGCAAATCTTCATATAGAATTATTTCTAAACTGGACTTGCTTGTCTTCATGTATACACAGAATGCTTTTGCAACACTTGCTTTTGCAAATGAAGCTGATACAATACAATTAGGTAGCTGGGGGCATCTTTTTACGTGACTGAAGAAATTTCTTAATGAAGTGTAGCAATCAAAACAAGCCTACTATTTTCAATGCCATTCCACAGCAAAGCTGGAGGCTCCACCCCCAACTGTCCACATGTATTCAACAGATTTTACAGTCATCTTTTACATAATGGATGCAATTACATTAAAAAAGAAAAAGAGAGAGAGAAAACTTACTGTACCTGTATGTTGTTCTTCAATCCAAGCTTGTAGATACATGAAGAGGAGTAGACCAGCTACTCCAAACAGCAGTACAGACACAAAGACTTGTCTCAGGTTCATGACCCTATTAGGGGTCCTCTTTTCAGCTTTCGAAAAGACTCATGGCTCACTTTTCTGAAGTTTTCAGCATGCCTGCATCTTCTTCAGTATCTTCCCCAGAGACACCAACCTGGAATAACAAGAGATGGAGGTTGTTTTCCATTTTTATTCTTCACTAGAGACTGTGTAAACAGCATACTATATTCAAGCTGGAACTCTTACAAGACACTACTTTCAATGCTTATACTTCTGTTCACAGCCTCAATGCTTTTTCTACCCCCATATGAATTCCAAGCAGAGGTGTTTCTTGAAGTAGCTGAAAAGACAATTTCACCTTCACAACACCAAACATTACCCGCTGCTGTAACAGAAGGAGGTGATGACCCAAACGAGATCATCAAGTGTCACACCAGTTCACCACCAGCACACCACGCTGCCTGCCAACCTTCACAGCTGAGAAGTTACAACAAGCAGCTGGAGCCTCTCAGGAGCCTGCAGTCACCCCCACAACACAACTCCTCCTTGCAGTGCCTCAACATCAGTTCAGCCTATGCATCGAGGAGTCATACTCTGATGTTTAGCATCAAATATGAATCCAAGGTGAGTTTTTCAGGGTTACAGAATGTCAGTAATGAGAATATATCAGTATATCAGAATATATCAGAATATATCAGTAACACAGCAGGAAAGGAATTAGTGGATCATCTTTTTACTCAGCTATTTTGCAACATGGAGAAGGACCTGTCAGAAACTCAATTCTTGCCACTAAGTTTAAGGAAAATGAGCTCAAATGTAAAAACTTATAAAAAAAGATTACTTGCACACTAGTGGGCCCAGAAAAAATAATTTACCTGATACTCTGCACCTGACACAAAAGGTTCATAAAATTCAGTTTATAACATCAGAACATAGAAGACACTGTGGATCACTAAAAAGACAACTCTTTAACCTGAATGAGAATGCCTTCACTTTGAAAGCGCATTATTAGATGTTGAAGAGCATCTAGGTGTTGAAACTAGCCTCATACCAAATGTGTTAAAATTCAATATAATGGACACCCTTGTAAGTGCACATCTGACAGAAGAGTCTGGTGAACTAAAGCGATGCTTAATGAACCATTAGTCAAAGAATCAACAAGTACAAACCTCTTCTGTTTTGCTGTAGACAAAAGCTGTGTTGTTTGTGTAACAGGACATTGGCAACATCTGGATTAGGAAAAAAGATTAAAAAGAGCAAATAACTAAGATGTGAGGATCTGAATAAGTATCTTTGAAATAAAGTATTTAAATTAGAAAGCAAGAATCAATTTCTTTTGAGAAAAGTTGTTTGGGATTCACAAGTTTCTCTCATAATAGAAAAGTAAGCAATCTGGACACACACAATGACAGTGGCACGCTCCAAATAAGCCTGCTTTTGTGGTTTTGTCACTTTCTTCCATCTCCGACCACACAAAACTCCCAAATTTTCAGCCCTTCTTTCTGAAAAGTGTCCTTGAGGAGGGGCAAGAAAAGCTTTTCAGGCCACATAGATGATGCTGAAAGTAAAGTATCTCAGACCACATCTCCATAAACATTTCTGACACACGTAGGCTGGCACTGCTGCGCTCTCCAGTCACTTGCTCTCGTGACCCCTGACAGCCCAGCTCTTGCCACTCTTGCCATGAGGGCTTACACACCTGTTCAGTAACATTCTTCTGAATGTTCATCCAGCTAAGTAGATGGATGGATAGCTCATCCAGCTAAAAACTGCCCCAGGAAAAGAAATGGGGACCTTACTGACCAAGGAAGTCAGGAAACACTAGTTTAATCAAATTACAGCTCCCAAAGGATTTACCCAAGGAACAGCGCTGATGTTTTTTCCTTTAGTAGCAGCAGCTATTGCATGCATCCATGACACATGATAGCACAGGATACACAGCCGCCCTTGCCCAGACACCATCATGGTTGCATCCAGCACCATCTATGAGACCTGAAAGGTGATGATGCAGATGCACAGTAAAATCAGGAGCACTTCCTAATAATTTAACCTGACAATAAGAAAACAGATGTTCTTTTACTAGGCAGTTTTGGTTTTGAGTGGATAAAAGTTCCTAAAAGGAAACAGCAGTTCCAGGTGCCTTTTTTTTTTTTAAACTACTGAACATACCCTAAAGCCAATTCACTTCACCATCACTACAATTATCTATGTATCAAGAACTTACATGCTGCTTGCAATTAGTTTAATATATTTAAATTTAATTTATATGAAACTGTGTTCTTTGTTTATATGTTGGCTAAGTTTTAAGGCTAGTTTTAAGGTTAGTTTTAAACAACAGTAACACTACTTTTAATTAAGACTACCTATTTTAGCACAGGTCAGACTCTAAATACATCAAAGCCATTCAAACTCTGAAGCTATTCTGCTACCTTATAAGATTTTAAAGGCTTTTCAGCTTGAATAAGTAGTTTAATTTATTTAACACAGTGATTTGTAACCCACATATGAAAAAATTATAGTGACATTTAAAAAAGTCTGTGCGTATGAGTGTTCTATCAGAACTTGAAAAATGGCTGCACAACATTGACAAATTTGCTCCTTTGGTATTAAAAAGCAACGCTTATGGATAACACTCTCAGGCATCCTGGAAAAGAGGAAATACCTGCAAATATTCTTTAATCAAGATAAATGCTTTCTTGAGGCTGTAAAGAGCCAACAAGCAATTACTTTCAACCCAGGTATTTTCAAAAGGGACCAGCCGTATCCAGAGGTTCAGCATCCCTACTTAAGCTGTGAATCCTGCTTTGCTACCAATCATGGGCAAAATGGCTCCACGGGGGGGGGTATCTTGACCATCCTGCTGGATGGGATTCTTGCTACAGGGAAACTAACACGGCCCTCCCTTGCTACAGGGAAACTAATGCTGTGACCCTCTTGTCTATGCTGAACTAGATTCTTGCTTTTGCCCAACCTCACCCCCATCTCTTTTGGGTGCATGGAGCCCAATGTCCCATCTGTTTCAACTCAAGCTTTCACAGAAAATGTCATAGTGACCCATGCAACCTTTTGAGTATTGGAGAGAGATTACTATATACTAATCTTATCCACCATGGACAAACAGTTAATCTGGTAGAAAATAGCACTACATTAGAAGACAAACACAGACTTCTTTGCAGCAAAAATGTAGAAATTTAACAAGTCTATCGTCATTCACTTCTGAGGCCAAATTGTTAAACGTTTGTCAAATATTAAGGGTTTTGAGAATGCACATTCCACTGATATAAAATCCTTGCATTTTTCCCATTGTGTTTGGGTTCAAAGACACACATTCCTGTACAGGGCCAACACAAGCAATTGAAATAGCAGAGCCACCCAAAAAGGGGGAAGAGTCTGCCTCCTGCTTTTGGCATGATTCTTCATTTCAGTACATCATCCACCTTTTTCTTCCTGGCAAGCAAATATACCTGCAGCTGAGGAGAGGCACCCCAGTTCTCAGGTACCATTGCTGGTTTCTTCCTATTCTAGACCACACAAAATCAATGGCATCTGGTCACAGGATGTTTGTCTAACTTTAGATTTCCTTGCCACTGTGACCCTCACCATCATCTAGTTCCAAAATCAAAGATGTATAAAAGTAAAACATTAGACTGCCTCAATCTATTTAGAAATCTTCCTTTTAAATTCCAGTTCACCTTTTTTTCCTTCACCATAAAAAAAAAATAATCAAGAAGCATGGTTAACCAGCAGAATACAGATGAAAAAAATCCAGACACTCTTTATAATGGCCAAAGCATTCATATTACTGTGGGATACCACAAATTCCCACCCACTCAGTATCTCCTTAGACACAGCTGAATTAATGAAAGAAAAGTGAGAAAAAGGACGCAGAAAGCTACTGTAACCTCATGCACATTTTTTTTTTCTTTTTTTATTCCCTCCGTCCTTCCTTACCTCAAGAAGCACTACATTTTCTGATACCTCCACTGGAGTTATCACAGCAGAAGTTTTGTACCGAGGAATGTTCTGCTGGACACTGGCCCAGGCTACTTTCAGCCCAGTCTGTGGAAGGAGGCAAGGATATCTTTTCACTTCAATGCTTCCCCTCCTCCCTCACTTCTCATCTGTTATCTTGTGTCCTACTTCACATACAGGTGATCCTTCAGGATCATCTTTCCACTGTCCACATCTCAACTTTCTGGCTTCGCAACAACTAGCACAAGGCACAGCTCCAGCTCTTAACAATGCTTGCACAGTTCCTCATATCAGGCAGTGCTGCTTTTTTGTTCTGGTTTATTCCAAAGGTTGCTAGAAATATACGTACAATATCTGCCATTTTCTATCTCCAGCAAGTTACACTGAATATTATGGTTGGGTGAAGTCAAAGGCCCTACAGAAATTTGGTATAAGTGAATAGGCAGATCGAGATAATCCAACTGTGTTGCTGAGAAAGTTTGTAAAAATTAAAAAAATACAACCAACCAATCAAACAAAAAAATCCTCACCAAACCCCCTCATAAAAACCCCAACCAAAAATCACCCCAAACCAAACCAAAATTCACATAATGTAGCCCTTCCTGTCTATAAGAATCTACTGGGGAGATACAGACAGGGCAGTGGGGAGATACCCAGCATCCAGGCCCACTGGTACCTCAGTCCTCCTGACACCTCAACACTTCTGCACCTGAAGAGCTGCTTATAAGAATGCTGTGTCAAAGTGTAACTGAAGACACCATCTGGCCTGCACAACTTTTATCACTGGCAATAAAAGAAGATTACTACCTACAAACATTGCAAATCAAGTTAAGAGAATTTTGTTGAGAGTTCCATAAGACACAAATAATGAAATATTTTTTTTATGAAATACGTAGGGATTTCTTTTCAAAGGAGAGAGCTATTTTTATCAAAGTGAGCATCTTTCACTCACCCACTGATAATCCTGAAACAATAAAGCTGCTTCAAAAAATAGAGCTCCAAAATTTAAAATTTCAACTGCAGTCAGGAAATTCCATACATCAACATCACCAAAGTAAGTTCCCACCTAGCCAACTTGTACATATTTAACATTTTTCAACTTCCCTCTCCCTTGTTACATAGCAGACTACAATGTTGTTAAAGCAATTAAGTTTTATTATTAATACACTTTACAGCATACAACATATTGTACAAAATTAATAACGTGGTAAAGAAAATATGGTTTGTGTTTGATTTCACCATTTTAAGCTATTAACGTCACTAGTTCCTCATTATCCTTTCTATATATTTTCAAAGAAAAAAACTCCTTTTAATGAAGCAATGGATGTCAACAAGACTCATTTTAGCAGAGGCATATATTTGTTTCTCATGTCATTAAAACTTTCCATAGGAATTGTACTAGGTGACTGAAAGCAATCCATAGCACCTGCATTGCTTTTGAGAACATGCACACCACTTACCTGGTTCTGCACCTCAACCATAAATCCTATTAAACTTCAGACCATATTAGTATAATGCACACAGCAACTTGCCTCAGATACTTGTAGTTTAATTTAAAGCTGCAGTTCTAAACAAACAAAAGTTATACTTGTGTTAATAACAGATAAATGCCAAGTTGTCCTATCCATGGGTATGCAGGTTAACACACCAGCATCATGGAAAGTTTTGGTTACTTACAGAAAACAGAGAAGACACCAAAAGCATCGGGATCTGGAACTTCACCACTTCACCAGAATATTCAGTTCTAAGGGTTTCACTCTACAGCTCCTGGACATCGCACTTAGAAAAGGAAAAATCATTATTATTCTTAGTAACAGTGCCCAGTCAGGACTGAGGGACCTCAGCAGACAAAGTTTGACATGCTTAGCTCTTACCTGTCTGAAGCACTGCTGGAAGTCAGTGAGCAGTCCCACATGGAAGACACCCGGATTCTGGGAAGTTAAAAGAGAAACAGGGCTCACGAGACAGGAACTTGATGGCTCTCAGTCTTCTAGTAGGATTGGAGGTGGGCTTTTTCCCCTCTCTTAGAATGGGGAAGATTAGGAGAAGGACTGTGTCAAAGCAAGATCTTCCCTTTTTTTTGAACTGGTGAAATGATTCGTCTTGTTTATGGACTGCAGTGAACCCAGGTGTTCTCAGTATGCCAATAAGACTCGCAGCCTGCCCCAGTCATCCACTCTATTGCTATAAAACGCACAGGCAACACCAGTCCATTTTTTATTTTGGAGACGAGCCACGAATTCCCGGCGTGTGACGGAGCGGGGAGGCGCGGGGGCGTGAGGAGTCAGCAGAAAAGTTGGTGGGTGCGCGGAGCCGCAGCGGGGGCTCTGCGACCTCCGCAACTTCGGGGGACGAGCCGCAGCCCCCTGGGGGCCGGTCCCGGCGCTGCAGCCCCTCGCCACGGCCGCGCCAGAGGGTCGGGGCTGACGCGCCCGAGGCTCGCCCGCCCCCCTAGACTGCTCCGCTCTGAAAGCACTGGGGCGGCCGTGCTGCTGCCGCCGCTTCCCGCTCCCGTTCCCGCCGGCAAAACTCCCGGCGCCCCGGGGCTGGGCGGTGCCGGCGGGGGAGCGGCTGCTGGCGGGGCCGCGGAGGTGATCCCGCAGCAAGCCCACCCACCCTCCTACTCTGCGTCCCGCTCGTCCCCCGTGAGTGCCCCGCGGCTGCACCTCACCTGCCCGCTGCTCCCGCCGCTCCCGGGAAGCGCCTCCGCAGCGGCGCCTACACACTAACTTTCCTTGCCAAACTTTGGGGCCGGGCGGGCTGGGGAGGTGCCCCCGGCGGCACGGGACCCCCCAGGTCCGGCGGGCGGGTCCCCGCGGGGGCAGGTGAGTCCTGCCCCGCACAGCCCGTGTGATGGCAAGGGCAGCCGCACTCCCTCCCTTGTCACCCGGAGCCGAAGAGCTTTGCTGGCAGGTTTTTGTGTGCTGTTACAAATCCATGGGTAACTGTCCCTGTGTTAGCATATAAATATGTCTAAGCTGCCAGGTAAAGGCAAGTCATAGCTTTAATTAGCTATTAAAACAGATAGTGTAGAAACTTTATTGTCGTCTATGGGAAACGGGATGACAGAGAGAAATATTTAAATAGTGCTTATTAGAGCGTTGTATGTGCCTTGCAAAAATTATCAGCTTATTGTGACAATAGACCAGCCATACAGATAAATGACATTATCTCTCTCTAACGGGAATGTCACTTTTCTTACATTTCCTCGAGGAAGCCCTTGAAGAAATAGCTCTGGCTGTTGTTAAGGGGAGTGAGCACAGAGGAGTTCTGACTTTCCAGAGCTGTGCTCAAACCACTTCTATCCATCTCTCGTTTAGGCATTTCACTGCAGTGCTGTGTCCCTAGAATTACCCCAACATGCACTTCTGAAATGTACCCTGATTCATTGCTCACTTACGGCATAAGGCCTTTTTTTGGAGTAACTATAATGTAACCTTCATGTTTTTACATCTTTTACCCTAACAAGTCTCAAATCATCTCACACACTGTTAGAGTCAGCACACGGGGATCACTTCTCCAACCAGTGAAGCACAATCACCCTCAGCGTGAAGCTGAATGACATCCACCAGCTGAAGACAAATGTCTCAGAGCAGAGAGTAGAGAGCTGGGTGCTGCTCAGATTTCCAGGAGGGTTTAAGCAGAGTGTAATTACTCCTTCCAGAGTTTAGATGTTCACTGAAAAGTTCTCCAGAGTCTGTAACAGCCATAGGCAGCCACAATCTGTGCTCAGGAGTGTTTGCTTGGATTTCCAATCCAAGTGCTAAACCATCCTGCTCCTGCTTAGTTTGGGTTGTGTGAATACATATAACCTCATCCTGGTGCTCTTAATTTTCTCTTTTATCTCACTTAAGTGCCTCCCTATTCACAGTCCATTATAGAGGTTGCCAGCTCAGAGTAGACCCAGGGAGCAAACATTTTTCCTTTAAAGCCAACCATGGATCCATTTTAAAGTTCTAGGGAGTAAAGACTATCCCTCAAACCTGTAGCTTGACTGTCTCCCTACTAGGAATAAAAGAGGAGAAAAGAGAGAGGGAAGCAAAATATGGCTGCTGTTCGTTATAGAGTTGAGGAGCATGTTTCCCCTTTTAGACAACCTGGCAGGCATGTGATACTATGTTAACCACATACCTTAACAAAAAAATGCAACCTCATATTTAAATTACAGGTCTACTAGTCCCTGATGGTCAATGAGATTTTAGAGAAAAACAACATGCTTACTGAATTTTAGTTTCTTGCGGTAATACACTCAGAAGATTGTAATGGAGGTCACTGAAGCTTTTGATGATATACAGATTAACCTTCTGAGTGTTGTAGATTTAATTTCACTCAATAAGTACATTCTGTGAACATATTTCTTCAGATTGATCTGTTCAGATTGCACCCATCAACCAATTAAAGTTATATATAGCACTGAAAAGATTAGATGTCTTGATTTTTATTTTTCTTCATTTAAAGGAATAAATTAATTGCTTTGGGATAAAGCCAAGTCTTATTCTACAATTAAAAACAAACAAACAAACAAAAAAAACCCAGAAAACCAGACCAGTGTGTTAAACTTGTATAATACTTGTTCCACCACAGACTCTTCCAGTGCAGAGGGCATATTCCAGCTATGGATATAAGAATCTTTACTAGATTAAAAATTCAATATTCAGGTGAAACTAGACACTGGATTAGGAAGCTCATCAACTGCGTAAATGTAACCAGCACCTTCTGAAGCTTGACATGTAGCAAAAAAGAAACAAATTACAAAAGGGTAATGGCAGTCTGTCTGTGTCAGCGGGGCTGGTGCAGAGCCAGCGCCTACATCAGAAACTCTATTCTTGGCAGGTTTCTGCATGTTGCCTGTGAATTTTGGTAGACAAGCAACTCAATAGTTAAAGTGGCAGCACCATCATCTGAAAGCAGTGAGACAACAGCCAGGTGGTGGTGCCTTCTCGCAGGAACAGAAGTAGTCAGCGCAGTTAAGAGAAGAAAGATAATAAATCATGAATTGAAACTGAAACCGGCTAAAAATCAGAGGTCAATTTGCTAAAATAAATTCACCTTCACTATACAATAAGATTAATTTTAGCTCTTTACACATTTCCTGCGTAGATTTTCAGGGACAACCATGAAGGAAAGTTTGGTGTGGAGGGTAGGTCACAGTAACCCACGCTCACAGCTGCTTCTCTGTGAACTGCTAGTGCATCCTGTGTAAGGACCCTAAATCCCCTGTGGGTGCTCAGATCATGGGACAGAAACCACAAGTATCATTGCTCTGAGCTGTTAAGACCCTCCCCCCCTCTTGCTGAACTTTCCACCCAGCCTAGGTTTCCATTTGACATTTTTCAAAATTTACTGCAAAGTTAGCTCAGCTGCCTACACAGATACACACATTTCAAGGAGTCAGAAGTTGGTATTCTCACACTGAAAGAAAAAATTAATATAAAAACCATGTTTCGAGTAGCATCTGTGACAAAACTCTGCCTGTTTGGCCTGATCTTCTTCCAAAGGGTAAGGATTAGACCTTCAGAGAATTTTTTAGATTAGCCAAATTAATTCCAAGTCCTATTATTGTTTACTGCACTGAATTTTGGGACGGGCCACACTGGCACAGTTTCAGTGCCGTGTGCTATATATCAGTACAGAGCCAATTAGACAAACCTTTGGTGATTAAAAGCATTTTATCATTATGAAGGTGTCTTTTACTCCAGGGTATAAACCATTCAGCAAGTAGTTTCATTTTATTTCTTTGAGCTTTTTTAATTTTCAGCTAATTAGCTAGAAATGCACCACCTACAACATGCTCCTTTCCTAGGTTAGGAGGCTAACATTTGCCTCTACCAAGCATTGCTATGGGGCATTTGCTTTGTTCTTTAAAAAAACTGCTAGCAACTAGGTATAACATTTATTTGCTCAGTATCTGGCATGCTGGGATGAATATCAAAGCCTTTCTAAACAAGTTGTGTGCTCATTCAGAAATATTAGGCAATTCAAAGTCTGTTCTTCTTCAGCTATTACAAAGTTTTGTTTTTAAGAAGTCTCTAAAAAACTTGTCTTAAACGCTTCAATGAGTTAACAGTGAAGCTGTTTTATCCTAGTGGGCTCCCATTCTCAGAGGATGGCCAAAAGTAAGCAGTAGCTGCCAATATTTTTTTATTCTGAAGTTTGGTGCATTATCTTACTCCAATTCTAAAATATTCTTCAAATGGCAGCTGCTATTCAGTTAAGATTAACTCCCCTTTCTCTTACTGCCTCTACCCTATCTCTGGATGATCAGGGTTTGTGTGAGTATTCATGCTATTATATGATGAATTTATATCTTAAAGTGATGTATACCCAGTTTTACAGGCTCTATGCATGGAGGTTTTCAAGACAAGACTGGATAGAGCCCTGAGCAATCTGGCTTGATGCCATGGATGATCTAGTAATGTGTTGGAGGTTGTACTATAGGTTTCCTGGGATCAGATGCTATGTGAGTAGTCCCATGCTATCTTCCTAGATAGCCCACATGGAGATCAAGAGGTCACACTTTCACCAGAATGGTCTCATCTCACTACAAAAATGAGATTTGAAGACTGCTACCCTTCACAGAATCACAGACCACAAATGAATGAACGAGGTCCTTAACTAGGGTCAGAAGGCTTTCTGTTGAAATGTGGTTTGTAAAGCAAGTGAGAAGTTCCTCTGAAAAAAAGTCTTTTTTGAGACTTTTTGGACTGTGTTTGCAAAAGCTATGTAACATTGCAATTTCTAGTTTGTCTGGTCCTAGAGAAGAGGAAACATTCACCTTGGTTCTGCCAAATAATACTTGATTATAGTACCTCCTGGAAAAGAATGAGCTATTGTATCAGAGTAGCAAGCTGGGAGACAGTTTCTTTGGTGTTTCAGTTATTGGCATTACAGTGCCCCCACAAAATTAATTGTAAATTTCTTGACTGTCTGATCTAAATGCTTTAAAAGCATCCATAAAGATCTTGGGTGGTATGTTCTTCATGCTTGTCTTTCAATTTTGACTGAAGGGATGCTAGCAGATCGTCTCTATCCTTACCATGGAGTCCGGAGTTCTCAGCTATCACTAACTGCTCTTAGGCATTACACAGAAAAACCCAAACCAAAACCCCTCACAGAGCAATTTTACTATCTTTTACATGTCTACTGAATGTCAGAGAAGTAAAATCTGCATATTGCACTTTGGTCTCAACACATCCCCTGAATGTGAGACAAATAACATTGTCCTACTCACAACAGCAGTCTTGATAGTAAAAAGTTCTGCACTAATTCAACATCTGCTGACAAGCTGTCTATATG